ACCTGTGTTCGGGGTAACATTGTTGCCACTACGTTGGCAATTAAGATTCTCTTGCTGAATTGATCGTTTCTCTTTCATTTGATTTGCGATACAACGACAGAAGAAGTAGCTGGATGTGAATAGGAGGGAAGGATGGTACTAAACGGGCCAATCACAGTGCATTTCTAGGGAGGGGCACATCAGGTTACAGTGTAGGGTTTTGTGGTTGATTTAGACGACTTCGGTGAATCGTTGTAAAGCCTACCAAGTGGCAAGTGGCCGGCATGATTGCCAGTATTCAGACCTGTGCTCGGGGATTATGTTGTGATTACTTTACAGTAACTCTGTGTTTTATATGCGGTGCCAGCTACAATAGAAACAAATAAAATCCTGGCACCATTCTTTATTCCAGAGGCAAACATATACGTTTTGGACTTTTTGTTCCTCATTTACGTTGCAATAGTTTCTGAGTCTCCCTCCAGGAATTTACTGAAATCTGCGAGTTATATTGAGGCAATAACTGTTTTTCTCTCACTGATCAATTAAAAAAAAAGAAACTCAGGTGGAAAAAGTGGCAGCAGATGCACAGAAGGAATTGACTGTACTGAACAGGCCAATAAATATCGTTGCAGCTGCTTTAACACGATGTACAGATGCATTTCTTGGAGGTGCACATCAGGTTACTGACGACTAGATTTAACACAGACATTGAGCGACATAGATTGGACTGCAAGGGTCTGTGGGGATGCCACGTTTCTGTCTGTTTTTTGTGACCACACAGACTCACCAGCGGGGACTTTACAGTGCACCAGCTGCACGTGCGCCCCCCCCAGTGAGTGGACTTAGAGTGGTCTTCAAAGAAGGATTCATTACTTCAGAGCCGTATAATCATATCTTAAGGCGGTGCAGATTTAACTCTGAAGCATAAATTCACTGCTTTGTGGAAGTACCTTAAACCGACATTCTTTCTAATGACCAGCAGGGGGCGACCCCTCTGGTTGCAAAAAACACTACTGTACAGAAGTGACCAGTCGCTAGTTTTAAATCTTATTAATTACAAAATGATGTGTTTTTGTAAATTATAATCCTTTTGTTTGTTTGTCTAGTTTTTTGTTTTTTTTTAAAGGTCAAAATGTCCATCTTTGATATACAGTCTATGGTCTTACACTGTTTCCTAACAAAATAAAAAAAGTTTTGTTACTCATGTCTTTTCTCCCTCGTGTTTTTACAGGAGATGAAACGTACCAGGACATTTTCCAGGATTTCACCCACATGGCCTCCAATGACCCAGACAAGCTGAACCGCTACTAGCAGTACGACTCGCAGCGGCCGTGATGCTGCAGAGCGCCGTCCATCCGCGGTCAGAAGGGCTGTTTTCACAAAAACAAAAGTTGGAATGATGTCCACTTCGCATTCACACTCATTCAGAAACGGCCCCATCAAAGCCAGCGACCGTATCTAATGTAGCCAAAGCTCCCTTTCATCAGTTCGTTTTCACCGAGGCGAGTGCTTCGTTCAAGTGAAGGGGAGCTTCGACAGTGGATTTTTTTTTTTAACTGTGCATGTTAATAGGATGTATAACAGTAAGTAAATGGTACAGTGTTAAAGCCTTTGGAAGGATTCACATAGTCTTAAATCCAATGATAATTACACTCAGACTGAATGTAAAGATGCCGTCAAGGCTGTCGCTTACTTTGACTGAGTTAAATGTTTGCTGTCACACTTTGTGACGGTGAAGGACACTTATTGTTTTTTTTAAATAAAGTTAAAGTTGTGGTGCATCAGAGCTGCACAGAGAAGTAAGCCCACGGCAGACTTTTAAAGGCTCTGTTTCATGCTTTTTGTTAACTGCTTCCTCCTTTCATTGGGACTCTTTTAATGAGCTGCAGCATTTTTTTTTAATGTAAGTTTTTCTTTAGAGAATCATCAGCAAGTGTATAAGTGTCCGTATGCTTTTATGTTAAATCACCACAGACGTTTACCAGTTTGGATGGTGGCTTTGAAGTGTACAGTGATCTCTGACAGCAGTAAACCCAGAATCAATTCACATGTAAGGTTAAATAGTTGATTTGACTTGATTTTTAAATGCTTTTCTTTTTTAGAAATGTAATTTCTCACAAGTACCTGCAGTGGTTTGAAA